CCCAAAACCCCAAAACCCCAAAACCCCATATAGAAAATTTGATTTTATAATAGAATCTAATTTGTTAAAATTAATTATCATAAATGTTTTAAATAAGTTTTTAATAATATAAAATTTATAGTTTTTCCATTTTTTACAAATCGGAAATTGCCTTTCTCTAAATCTTTTGATTCATTGTTTGCCACCCTCCACCACCTCCTAGGTAGAAGAATCGTTTGAAAAAGTTTTTTTAAGTGAGATTTATGAGGCAATGCTAAATCTACGGCTACTATTGATCTGCATATGATCTCCATTATGTAGTGGTATCAAATTACTATGTCTGGAATTCTATTTTGCTGCTTAGAGTGGTAAGTTCCTTTGGTGAAATTACTCACTATAAACTTCACTAATTTTGATAATTTTTGACTTAAAACTTACTCTTTATTCTTGTTTTTAATTCTTATATTTTTCCAGCATGATTTGAACCCTCAAAAGTATAGTACTAGTTTAATAAGAATGCCTCAAAGCTATTGACTTTCTATGCAAACAAATAAGTTCTTTCTTATTTTTAGGATCACATATTTTTAATGACATTTTTAAAAACTTTAGAAGAGAGGGGTTTGGAAGCGGAGTATTCATGAGATTAGCTAACTATTGCTACTGTATAAATAACAAATATTGCTAACCTAATTTAGTAAAAACCTTCATAACTTTGTTAGTATCCGAGGAATTCTTAGTATTGTAGGTATTTAAACCAAAGCCTTGCTTCTTTAAAGGGATTAAGTCAATTCTCATTTTCTTTGCTATTAGCCTGTCTCTAATTCTGTAATTATTACCTTGAATTCTTTAGATTTGATTGTAGGTTTATACTTATCATAAAATCCCTACCAAAGTAATTCAGTTCTTGTAATTTGAAAGCCTTTATATATCTTCCATATTGTTTATAATAAAGCACTTCATATTTTTCAAGCTTAAATCAAGGGCTTTATGCTATTGAAAGATATATTCCAGGCGTTCATTTATCTATTTATTAGATTAAAGAATAGAAGGTTTAACTATTTCAGTCCTGTTAACTTGAATAAATTTCTCAAATTCTTAAGATAGTTCGTTCTAATACTTGAAGGATATCAATTCTTTCTGAATTGTTTATGTTATCTTTATTAGTATTGTACAGCTTCTGATAATTATCAAAAATGTTTATTTTTTATAGGAATTTTTAGTTTAAAAACTGTATTCTAAGTTTAAGCATAAGCATCTCTTAGAATATTATGTTTGTTTTGAGATATTTTCTTTAATTATTTACCAATTCCATTTTTAGGGAAATGGTATTTTCTCTAGATTAGGGATTATCCATTGTTCAAGCACAAGTAAATCATTTATATCTAACTTTAATTGCATATACTTCTTTGAAAAGATGCCAAAAGCCTTGTCTATCTTGGTCATCTTTGCTCCATCATTATACCTAAAAAACTTGGCAAGTATTCTTCAATAGCCTTTAATTATTATTCCTTGTTAGGAAAATTATCAGAATCGAGCTATCCAAAGCTATTATCGATTTATTTCTCCTGCTAATAGATCTTATTCGTTTACTCTTGCAAATTAAGACTCTCTTACAAAGATCTTCCTGTGAATAAGCAATAGATTAGATTTTAGTTTAATGCATATTAACATTATCTGATGCATCTTTTTAGAACTTGTTGAGCTTCATTTTAAATGCTACAATCTTTTGCAATAGGCTCAGTTTATGGAACTTGAGCTGATTATTCAAAAGTATCTGTAATTTTTCTAAATATTATAAGGAGGAGGTTCAGATCTATCAAATCAATTCCGATGTTATTTATTTTGTTTATTATATTTTGTTTGGTTATCAGTCAAGATATTTTTAGATGAGGCTACATCTACTTTAATAGAAGTGTCCTTGGTCTGGTTCCCTGAAAATCCATTGGTAAGAGCTCGAAAACTAGTGATTTTATCATTATTACCTAGCATGCACTACTAGAAGCCAACCATTTCAGATATGGTTTGACAAGTAGCTATATTATTGGTGTTGGATCAGATATTGATAAGATTAAATTAGATTCAAGTTGCTTTGAGTATTGTAAACCAATTTATCGTGATTTATTTATTTATAAATTTACTAACTTATCTATCAAGCAAATTATTTAACTCCCTCTTACGGTTTCTTTTATTGGTTTTCATATTAAGCATTATTTAAGAAGCTACATGCTTTTGCTTGATTTTTTATTCTTTCTTTGTAAAATGCAAGTAAATGAAATATAAATTAATATAATAAGATCATAAGAGAAATTAATGACAGTTAATAAACTACACTGATATGTAGACAGGCATTAAATTTGAACCGATTTTAACTAGAGAATTTGAGAATTATAACTTCATTACTTAATTTTATAATATATAAAAATTTATATTTATATTTTTGATTATTCTAATAACAATGTAATTGATTCAGCTAGGGGTTTTGGGGTTTTGGGGTTTTGGGG